TTAAAAAAACTGTTAGTGGGAGGATAAATATGCCCCGGATCCATCTCTCCACCGCATCTCTCCCTCAACCTCTCTCTTAGATCCATTTCTCCTCTCCCCTCCACTCCCACCTCTCCCTCAATCGTGGTTGGCGGCGGCGGCAAGTGGAGCTGCGGCGGCGGATCAGGCGGCGAGGAGGCTCACGCGTGGCGATCCGGTGGCGCGAAGGCACGTGGGTGGCATGGAGGCTCGCGACGGTGGGCGGGCCAGCAGAAGTCAGGCGAGGCTGCGGGAAGGCTCGCACGTGGCGGATCTGGCGGCGGGGAGGTACGGAGGCGTGGAGGCTCGCGCCGGCGGGCGAAACTGGGGGCGGGGAGGCTCGCGGCAGCAGGCGAGGCTGTGGGCGGGCTATGGAGCTCACGTCCAACCCGCTTTACCGTCAGCGGCAGCGCAGGGGAGGGGGCTCGGCAGCGGCAAGGGGATCGACGGTGACAGAGCTTGGCGGTGGTGGATGGCACGTGGCGGGGCTCAGTGATGACGGTGCGTGGTGGCAGCAAGGGGCTCGGTAGCGATGGCGCGCGGCTCTCTCCTCTCTGCGCCTCCGGCCTCCCACCTCCCTCCGCCTCTCTTCGGCTCGACGGCGACTGCACCGGCAGGATGACTTTGTGTCCGCCAGATCTAGTGCTGGTGCCCCTCGACGGTGGATGGCGACGAGATGCATGCTGTGAAAATCGATTTGCTTCACTGTAATGGATTTGTTGATGTTAATTTGTTGATGTGAATCTGTTGATTTGTTGAATTTGTTGATGTGAATCCGCTGATCTATTGATGAATATGTTAATGGGAATCTAGATGTTGATGAGTTTTTTTTTTTTCAAAATGATGTTGAGGTGTTTTTGTTTTGAAAATCATGATGAATATGTGGATTTTTTTTTTGAAAAATCTCTTCACTCGCGGTTGACCTAAAGGTGCCGTCAGCAAAAAAAAATCCATTTTTGCTGGCGGATTTCTTAGGACGACGCCTGCAAAATTCGATTTTTGCTAGCAGATTTCTTAATACGCCACCTGCGAAATTCAATTTTCACAAGTGGATGAGGCCCGCTCTGGCCTTTGGTTGCTGGTGGCTCGTCTTTTCGCTTGTAAAAATTGATTTTCCCCGTCATGGAAAAACCGATTTCGTAGTAGTGTGAACTCCACTTCTTTGTGCTACAATAGGAAACCGGCACGAACGTTCCAGGCAGCAACCCCTGGAGCGCGATCGTGGAGGAGTCCTTGGCTTTGGCGAGCACGGAGAGGGCTGAACTGCTGTGAAGAAAAAACGCAAAAACTAGAGAAACAAATCACACACGCCGGCTGAACTGGTGTGATGAACAAATGCAAGAACTTCCAGAAAATATTTTCAGATGAGAACTCACGAACTGCACATATATAGCTCAATTAAAATCCACATATGAAGTGAAAAAAATGGTGTTTCTGATTTAGTCCGACACGGTAAGCGTACTGTCGTCACGCTGTAGGGGGTTGAGCACCTTGGCCCGCTCCTCGACGGGGACGCGTCGGGGAGTCCCATGATCCGCTTCACGCAATCCCTCCCTGCCACCGCTGTCACCTGCATCCTCCTCCTCCTTGCCACCCGTATCGACAACCTGTTGCGGCGCGAGCTGCCCGCTGTGGACGTTCCCGTTGCTGTCAGAGGCGAGAGCACCTGCAGTATCCCCGCATCGTGGTCGACTGGTCGTCGTCGTCCCGTGCCGCCGGCGCTGTGCAGTAGCACGTAAAAGGACTGGCCGTAGGTCGAGGGGCTAGACGGAGGACGTGAAAGGAAGTTTTAGAGGATGGTTTTTGTTGATGTGACGCTGACATGATAATGTTGACCTAGTCTTTCATCCAACGTGGCATTAGAATTAAAAAAAACTATGATTCACACATAAAATAAATTATGGAGCCCACATGTCATCCTCCCTCTCTCTCTCTTCTTCCTCCATCTCTCTCCCTTCTCTCCTTCTTTCTCGTGGCGCAATCGGCGAGCAGGGGGGAGACGGAGCGGTGGCGGCGGCGGGTGATGGCCGGAGCAGCAGCGGCGGTGGCAGGCGAGGGCCGGAGCGGCGTCGGCCAAGCAGAAGGCGGTGCTCAACCACAGTCCACAGTCACACGCTCGCGTGGCATGACGGCGACCTCGCGGCCGATGAGGTCTGTCGCCGCCGCGTTTGTCCTAACCACTTCTCCAGCGCTCAACCATCTCTCCTTCCCCTTCGCCCACCATCACTGCCATAGTGTAGTTCCTCGGTGGAGGCCTGCGCGGTGCCGTGCGAAGCCGGCGGTGGAGGACGTGGTAGACGACGAGAAGGAGAAGGAGACCTGGCGGCGGGAGGACAAGCCCGAGGGGAAGGACGGAGGAGAGGAGGTGCTCGGGCGCGGGTGGTTCATGGTTGATGAGATTGGCATGGACATCCTCACCATCGCCTTGCCTGCTGTGCTCGCCCTCGCCACCGACCCCATCACGGCGCTCATCAGCACCTCCTTCGTTGGTCATGTCGGTAAGGACCTTAACTGCTTCCTCACTACTTGTAATTGTCCCTTCATTCTGTAGAAATCTACATTTACGGCACAAGAAGAATTATATCCCCTTTTGGAGTGAGCTGAATTTCTTGCGTCGGTTCTTGACAATGAAATATGGAAAATTATTCTTTCTATGAAATTACGAGAAATACACAGGGGTCTTCCGGCTAGCTTCATAAGGTGGTGGACTAGACGACCTGGGTTTGAAGTCTCATTCCTTCTAATTATTTGATATTAGGTCATTCCCTAATATTCGCATCTTTTTTATTCTTTCTATGAAATTACATGCTATGATGCCCCAGTCCTCGATAATCTCCCGCAACAGCTCGGCCCTCAACCCCTCGTCTGCCTCCTTCGCCGGTGCTCAGACGAAGTCCGCCTCCTTCGCCGGTGCTTAGACGAAGAGAAGGGGGAGATAAAGAGAACAGAGAGAGACCGAGAGAAGAGAGAGAGGGAGGACGAAGAAGGAAAAGAGATAGATAATGACATGTGGGCCCCACATGGGTCCCACAATTATTATTTTTAAATGATAAATGGGTCCCACATATTATTTTAATTCTATTACCACATAAGTACCACGTCAATATCATGTTGGATGAAGACCAGGTCAACACCGCCACATAGACGCCACATCAGCAAAACCGTCCTCCAAAACCACCAAGGGAGTCAAATTGCATCGATTTTAATAGTTCGGGAGACATCCTATACGATTTTACGGTTGAGGGTCACGGATTAGATTCGGATCACTTTCAAGGGAGTCAAAGTGAACTTATTCCTATATATATCAGGCAACTTTTCCATTACCAGGCTTGAAAAACAAGCCCAATATTTTACCATGTGAGTTTGTTTTGAATAAAATTTTAGTGAGGTTATGGATTTAACGATGGCTCCTCATCTGTTTGACTGTTTGAGGACACATTCACGGATGCATGCATATAGTGTGCATGTGAGTCCTCCGGCTCATCCCTGCATTTTGGGAAAAGAAAATATCATTGCAATCTCTTTATAAGAAAGCTCACAAACATGATTCACTCAAAACTCAATTTGGTGAGGCCCCCAATCTATAGTGCATATGTATTTTCCATGTATTGGACAAAAGAAAGACCAATGTAATCCATGACAACCAACAAACAAGGTTGGGTCAATCTCAATTTGAATCACTTAAATTACAAGCAAATATGAGTAACGGAATAAAGCCAATGTATATTGCCATATTATCCAAAGTTGAAGCCAATAAACAAACAGGAGATGATGACTCCCGGTCGGGCGCCCGATCCGGAGGGGTAAAATCGGGCGCTGACGTCAGCATGACGTTAGCGCTCGATTTACGTGCAAAATTAATTTAAACTGATTTATCTCTTAAATTACTTATCCAAATCATGATCCGATTGTACCATTAAATTCGTTGCAATTAAATCTTCAAAATAAGACCACACATGGATATATTCCGATGAAAAAAAATTAGCTTATTATTGAATTATTTTTAAATATTGCACGATATTCCACCAGGTATATCGGAATTGTTTCACTAAGTAGATCGAAAATGTTTCACTCGTTTAAATCGGGTGTTGTTTCACCCTATATTAAAACAATGTTTCAACAAATAGCGAAAGAATATTTCAGTTCACTGCAACATTAGATCTATACATAGTGAAACATTGTGAGTACACTATGTGAAACATTTCTCGGTGGAACAAAAAATAAACCAAATTCCCTTAATAGGGGGTTTCCAAAATATGTGGGTTTTTTATTGCAATGGAATGTTTCGTTCATTGCAACATTAGATCTATATATAGTGAAACATTGTAAGTACACTAGGTGAAACATTTTTGATGGAACAAAAAATAAACCAAATTCCCTTAATAGAGAGTTTCCAAAATATATGGGTTTTTTGTTGCAAAAGAATATTTTAATTCACTGCAACATTAGATTTATAAATAATGTTGTAAATATACTAGATGAAACATCTTTTGTGTAAAAGGGAAGGGAGAAATATGTGAGTCTAGCAGATGCGCACGTGGGGGTAGGGTGCGCGGGGGGAGCGTCTGATCCGGCTCCCCCCGCACCGGTCGGCCTGAGTAGAGCATTTTCACAATAAACAAGGCTTGCTCAAGATCAATTTGGTGAGGCTCAATGGCTAAAGGAATGTGACAGAAAAAACCCACCATATTGGTTCGAGAAAGATGCCATATATTATTTGTTTTCTGATATATGAATGCATATGGTTAAGACGACTTTGAACTTGACAAAACCGGTTAAAACTTTGGAGAAATTTGTGAATGTAAAAACGAATCCATGAACAACTATTTTAAATTGGAATTTCAGGTATATTAAACTTGTTCTTTCAATATTGAGATATTCCCCAAACCCACCACTCCACCAGCCAAACGTGCCAGCAATTGTTAACAATTTACGGAAATGCACATTTGCAAACAGGGGTGCGCCCCAACACACAAAGAAGAGAGATGGAAACAATTGTATGAATCTATTTGATCTTCCATAGACAAACAATTTCGGTAGCAAAATGGTACTTTCATGACAGAAGAAACACAACGGGATATACCGATAACAGAACTGATAAAGACATACTTAGGTATCCTACATACTAGGTTCTGTTAAGTCCCCAATTCACAATTTCTATGGAGTATCAAGAGGAAAATTGAGACATGTACTTTGTAAAGTATGCAAACATAAGGAGCACAAATAGCTTCCCCTACTACAGTGGCTGGTTTCAGTTTGTCTTGGTCTTCCCGGCCCTCCTCTTGGAATGTCTTCTAGGAATAGAGTTCTTCATTCCCAAGAAGAAAAGCAGGGCACCAAAAAGTGCCAAATTCTGAATAGACAAGAAAAATATGCGGGGATTGTAACAATTAACAAGAACGGCTGAATTATTTTGAAATAAAAACTTTAGTAAGTGAGGTGGTGGGCTAACAAACCTGTGAGAACTTGACGAAAAGCTGAACAAATTGTGAAGACTCCATTTCATAGTTGTAGAAGTCGTACACAACAGGTGTTATAACTGCTAAGTACAGGAGCTGCACAAATGAGCAAGATATTCAGTATTCCAATCTCCGACAAAGAATGTGAAGAATAGTTAGAAAGGGAAAGAAATACTATGGGGTTACACTAGACAAAGCACACATTTACACAATAATTTTAACCCAGGATCCTTAAAATACTTAGATCCATAGTGTTGCTGTGACATATATAGATCTGAATTACATATATTTTGAATGGGTTAATGTTTTTCATGGGATTACAGAACATTTGTTTACTTCCAGAGTAAAAAAACATGAAGGCCTTTGGACTATGGTGAATCACATGTCAAACTCCAAACTCCAAAGTGCATCTTATATGCACCAGTCAAGTGAAATATACTACACTGACAATGAGATGCACACTGAGCTCTTAGGAAAATAGTGTTAGTTTTCCATTTCCAGATGCTATGACTTTAAAAGGACAAAATCTCGTTAAAATGTATCAAAATGCTGTGCCAAAGCAGAAATAAAGCTAAAATTGCCAATTTATATGGTAAAACAATAAGAACTACATATATCATACAATAGTAAATACACATAATATTTTACTTTGGGTAGGCATGGTGCAGAATGCATAAAGAAAACACATTAGGTGGTGCTGTGCCTGCAGGAGGAGATTACCCACCAGTAGGAATGCTCCAAATGAGCTGCTGATGATGAACAGAAGACCACCAAAGCCTTTAAGAAACATGGTAGCAGCAATGACAGTCTTTATCTGTAGAAAAAGAGGTAGAATGGTATAAGTAAATGAAACAATATTAGGTAGAATGGGGCAGCCAAATCAAATAAATATTCATACATCAATATGTGGCACTGCCATTCCTAAGCTCTTGGACACTTGCTGCGTAAATAGATTGAATTTTGGCTTCAAGGCCTTTGCTGCTGGTCCACCATCAGTCCCAAATTCACTAAACCTGCAGGTATGAACAATTGTATTCAAGATTCTCAACAGTATAAAAGGTGCATGGAAAGAAGAAAAAGAATTATTTAACCACTAAAAAGAGTTTCAGAAGTACTTTTTACAACCAACTCAAAAACAGGGGAGGCTACCAAAGGACTTGTATTGCCAATTCCTGCGCTAAATTCTGAGTCACAAGCCACAGAAGAACTAATACTTGTAAGCGTTGGGCGTTGGCTACCAATTAAGAGGGAGTTTTTTTTGGAGAACAATTCAGGGGGGTTGACAAGAGAAGTATGACTGTCCTTTTTGCCACGGAGACAAGTAGAGCAGACATATATGGAATAACAAATCCTACTTATGATAACAAAATTTATCTTAACCTTCAGAAAACTTGTATTAGTACTTGATAGCAGATTCAAGCATATACATTCAATGGTTCAAATAATGTGGAAAAAAATAGTGATATCTGCTGTAACGTCACTGTAACAAGCAAGTAGAAAGGTTTTGGCAAGCTATGGAGCAAAGGGGACAAAAAAGCATGCACACAATACTAACTAATGAAAAAGAGAGGAAAAATTCAACAGAAGTTTTAGTTACCCTTGTTCATTGAAATGGTGTTGATCCACATAACCTTAAACAAGAAAAATAAAAGTTACATATTGGACAAGGTCGATTATTACTCACAAGTCACAACATTGGCAAACATGACCACGGCAATGTCCTATACTAAAAATGGTATGTGTTATTCATTAATCCATGCAGCTCATACTGGTTATGCATCAAAGCCACCAATTATATACAGTAATAACTGGCAAGACATTTGTTCCTTACATATGGCATTGTACCAGTAGACAGTTTACAGAACCCTGACCAATGTAACTCATAAGCTAACGCGAAAATCAGTTACACTAAGTGATCTCCAAATCGCTGCTTCTCCGGTGAACCATATTTATACCCTGAGATAATAAAAATGTCAGGCCCCAACCTAAAAGATCACCAAATGTAAGATGTTCAAAACAGTCATGTTAACTCAGCATTGTGACCAGTCATAAACTTGGAATTGGTTGGGAGAGAGCTTCACCACTAGCGGCACAAACTGTTGGAAACTCGACTCATGCCACACCTAAGTTATCAGACGAAGATGGATTTGGTAATCGGTTGGGAGTACGGGTCAGTCTACCAATAGCACAGTGCTGCTGCTGCTGCTGCTAGCACCACAATCTTGGCCAACCCAAACAGATATCAAATCAGCTCATAATGTGGACGTCACATACCCAATTGATGAGCACAGATGATGAACACACTGGAGTATTTGGACCATATGGGATCAGAGGAACTGCAAACTAGTGTTCCAAACTGTCAAACATGCTACTGTATTTGCATCCGAAAGAAAGAACATGCATGCTCCCACTGATGATGCATATGCGCATCATCATGCAGGGATTCAAGATTCACGCCGCGTGCGATCTGATCCCCAATCCCCCCTCTCCTTTTGCAGTGGAATGGAATCCCATGCCTCTACTCGCACGACGATATGCCGCTAATCAACAACACCTACCCACTCTCTCAGATCTGTCACATCAAAGATCCAAGAACGCACGGATCTTGCCTCAAGACGACTCTTCGATCCTACCAACCAATCCAAACGAAACGGGCACGACCTATACTAGTAGAAATCGGCGAGGAACAAAAAGAAGCCGGTCAGCCAGCGACAAGGAGGGAGAGAGATCTGATGGTGCCGCGCGTGCTTACTCTTGGTAGGCGGAGAGGAGGAAGATGGAGGCGAAGAGCACCCTCCCGACGAACGAGATGAACCCCATCCTCCTCCTGCTGCTGCTGCTGCTGCTCCTCCTCGAGCCGCCCTCCTCGCCCTCTCTGACGGCGGCGGCGGCGACAAGCACCGGCGGCGGGGTAGGAAGGAGGAGGGAAGGGGAGAGGGAGAGGTGGGTTTGTGTGGAATCTTCTTCCACAGCTGGTCAGTGCTAAATAATTTTGTCCGGAACCGGAAGTTTCTGAACACGGTTTTGAATTCGAATTTATTCATACTTTTGGCATTAACGCCGGGTTTAGTTCTAGAGTTTTTCTTCAAACTTTCAACTTTTCCATCACATCAAAATTTTCCTACACACAGAAACTTCTAACTTTTCCATCGCATCGTTCCAATTTCAACCAAATTTCTAATTTTGAAGTGAAATAAACACAGCCTAAATTGATTCGCTTAAGATACATTGCCATGCATATACACGGTATATAATCGAAACAAATTGTTTTGGGTTTATATTAATTTAACTTAAATTGTTTTGGTGGCACAACCCTACTCCCTCCGTCCCATAAAATACGAATCGAGCACTAGATGTGACATATTCTAATACTCCCTCCGTCCCACAATATAAGAGATTTTGAGTTCTTATTGCAATGTTCGACCACTCGTCTTATTCAATTTTTTTTTGCAAATATGAAAAATGAAAAGTTGTGCTTAAAGTACTGTAGATAATAAAGTAAGTCATAAATAAAATAAATAATAATTTAAAAAATTTGAATAAGACAAGTGGTCAAACGTTGCAAACAAAAACTCAAAACGGAGGGAGTACGATGAATCTGGACAGATGTATGTCCAGATTCATAGTACGAGGATATATCACATCCGGTAGTAGATTAGTTTTTTATAAGACGGATGGACTACGTAGTGTTATCGTGGGTAAGTACACACCCGGACTTACTGAGACTTGCCACTTGGTAGAGAGGCTCAAATGTTATTGCCTCACATCAAAGAAAATTAAGTTAAAGGAGCTTAATTTGGTTGATGTTTCTATAGTCACTAGGAATTCCCCACGCTTTGATGTTTCTATAATCACTAGGAATTGCCCACGATGTGCTGGGGAAATTCCTAAGTTAAAATTATATTAGTTATTAACAACAAATAAAACTGATTTGTCAAACTATGTTCATAGAGAAATACATTTGGTAGACTCTGTATGAGATTGTAGATGAAATATGATATCTCGCACTTTGATTATATGGATGAATATATGTTAAGTATTATAAAAATAATGGATATATATGTTAAAAATATTATGAAAAATAATGTGAAGGAAGATGATTGGATGTTGATTTGTAGAATCCAATGAATTATAGATGATGTGTGGCTAATGGGCGGGTAATCGCCCAGCGATCGCCCCCATCCCCCGATACGCTCCTCTCCCCCTTCCTCCTCCCCTTCTTCTCTTCCTACTACACCATAAATTTTTTTAAAAAAATAAGAAAATAAAGTTAGAAAAATTTATGTATGGAAATACATATATATAAAATATTTGAATTCAAGTTCAAATTTGAAACGGGTATGTAAACTTTTGACTTATAAACTTTGGATCTATAAACTAATATTTGAATTCAAATTCAAATTTGAATCAGGTATGCAAACTTTTGACTTATAAATTTTGGGTCTTTAAACTTTAGGTGTATAAATTTTAGATGTATAGAAATACTATATATAAAAATATTTGAATTTAAATTTAAATTTGAATCGGGTATATAAACTTTTGACTTATAAACTTTGGGTCTCTAAACTTCAGGTGTATAAACTTTAGATGTATAGAAATACTATATGTAAAAAATATTTGAATTCAAATTCAAATTGAATCGGATATATAAACTTTTGACTTATAAACTTTGGGTCTCTAAACTTTATGTGTATAAAATTTAGATGTGTAAACTGGAAGTGTACAAACTTTAGGTGCATAAATTTACTAAAATAGGAAAGTAATGTGGTGCCTAAAAAGGAAACTATGTGGAGGAGGGGGGGATGATCACTAGGGGCGATCGATTGCCCGTTAGCCTTTTTGGATGTTTCATGCTTACGTAAGTTTTGTATGTAATTATTGCTAGTGGATGATGAGGTGGCATGCTTGCATGTTGAACTTTAGAATTAGTGGGCTATAACTTTACAGTAAGATAGGATTTCATGTTGGACACAAGCCTAGGGACTAGGGCACAAACCATGGGGGCCGGCGCGCATCAATGCACCCTTCCGGCTGTGAGAACTATAGTGGGTGCCATCCTCCATGTTGGGCACAAGCCTAGGGGAAGCGGCGGGGACTAGGGTTTGGAGGAGGCTTCTAGTCAGTGTATGGATGTTAGGTCCGAAAGCTAGTGAGAGAAGGCATCAATCAAATGGCAAAATTCTTTTTTTCATTTTGTATGGTGCCTTGCAGAAATGGAAAGGCATGTGTGATAAAACCAACAGGTTATTCCCATCGCGTCTTTCTTTCAAGGCATGTGCTTTATTTAGGCCATGATCTTGTAAGCGATGGCATGGATTGCATGCAAGATGGCACTTGAGATTGTTGAAGCTTGCCTTGTTAGCCCTAAACAAGACTACTATGCCAATAAATGTGTAATGCCACTTAGATTTGTAGTTGGTTGAAAGGGTCAATTCGACCTAGAGGGGGTGAATAGACAATTAAAATTTTTAAGTAAAAACGAAAGCAATACTTTTCGGAAGTTATGAAAATTCTGAAAATCATAGATAAAGCGATATACACAAGTTAAACTAGATCTAGCTAGGCACAAGTATGGAAGGAATGCACCATCTAAACTACTAGCAGCACAAAATAACAAAGCTAGAGGAGTAAGAGAGGGATATCACCGGGATTCTTGCAAGTTAATGTGTTCCCGAAGTTCGAATTCGTGAGAGGATTCTACTCACCGTTGTGGAGCTCACAAAGAGCCGGGTCCTTTTTCAACCCTATCCTCAAGGTTGCACAAATGCACAATTCTTTCATTAGTGGTATATCGTCCCTTTTGAAAGTGAGATTCGACCTTCACAAAATTCCTTGGCACACCACAAATGAATCAGTGCCTCGAGGTTGATCCCAACCCGTTTAGGTGTCCTTAACCACCAAGAGTAACAAACGAAGCAATGATCTCTTGGGGATGAATCAAATGCTCAATAAATTTTTATAGTCAACATCAAGCACTCACACAAACTCAAATCAAACACTCACTCTTTCTCTCTCTCTCACACACACACGAAATCTAAGATTGAAGATCAGTGGAGAGGAAGAAGTGAGAAAGCAAGGTTTAAAGTAAATCTCAAGTCAAAGCAAGCCAACGACTCAAAGTGTGCAATAAGAGCAGCAACCCTAGCTTGGGGGTGAAGGGGGACTATTTATAGGCACACCCACATATTTGCTGATGGGAGCAAAGATTCCCCTTTTGGAAAATTTGAAATGCATTTTCGGAAATTCCGAACAGTATAAATTTCCAGAAACTCGGCAAAATAGAATTTTGGAAATTCCAAAAATCAACAGAGAGCTTTTTCACAGATTTTACCATTTCAGAAATCTGGAAACCATTTTTGGAAAATCCAAAAAAACACCAAAGAGCAAAATCAAATTTTCAAAATTTTTGAAATACACTTTTTTTGAATTTCCGAAAATCACTAGAGAGCTTTTTCACATTTCCAAAAATTTTGAAAAAATATTTTTGGAAAATTCGAAAATCACCGAGAGCATTTTGGCTAGCCATGACCGTTTCGAGAATGCCAAAAAGTATTTGGAACTTGCGAAAATCACCAACGAGCATTTTTCAAGGCGTAACCTTTTTAGAAATCTGAGTAAATTTCAGAAAACTGCAACTATAGGGAAAAAACTATCAGTTTGTTGCAATATTAGCAACATATTTCACCTTGCTGCAACGATAGCGTGGGAAATTATCATAGAACTACAACTTTTACATCTTATGCTACTAAACGACATGTAGGTGACAATAGTATGCTTAGGCCACGTAAAAGTTGCACTTTTGTGATAATTTCCCACGCAATCTTTGCAACAAACTGAAATAGGTCGTTAATGCTGCAGCAAACTGATAGTTTTATTACTATAGTTGCAGTTTTCCAAAATTTACTCTAGAAATTTCAAAAACCACTCTTAGAAATTCCAAATATTGGGAGAATGTAAAGTCCAAGAATAAAAAACACTTCATCAACAATTTTGAGCACCAAACTCATTCCTAGGAGACAACATGCCATCTAATTGTACGACTTCCCTATCGACACAAGCAAGAAAAAAAACATTTTACCATTTGAATCTTTACCTTTTTCATCTTTTTGCTACACGAATGGCTATTGCCTTGAACATCAACTCTTAGAGGACTAAAATTCCTTCACATATTCTCAATTAAAATGTTAGTCCTCACTAATAACATTATCATTAACCATCAAAATAATTGGGTTATTTTGGATCCATGCCATTGCAAATACACCAATTCAGACAAATACTACTATAATTCATCTATTTGTAGTCATGCCATCCGAATATGAACAAAATTAGAACCATGTCATCACCAATTCACCGTCACATTTTCTATCTTCTTCCCCAATTTCTTCTCTCTCTCTCTCTCTACCTTCCTCCTCCTGGGCTCAGTAGATATGTAAGAACACCTTCTAGCGGGACAAAGTGGAACACTGACACTGGAATAAACCAATTGGACCACAAAAAATCGGACTATGCAGATTCTTTTGTGGACAAAGTGGAACACCTGCACTGATGAAACTATCAAGAGCACTTGAAGAGTTGGATTAGTGAGCTACTACGACCAGGGCCATCTCGCTGAACTTGTGGAGATGGAGATGATGAGGCAGACCATCCTGAACTTGAACCGGGCCATCTCGCTGCCAGCCGGTGAGCCCCCGGATGAGCTTCTTGTTGACGTCCCCGAGCGGGATTATAGCCGGCCAGAGCTAGTCGACGGCGGTCTTCGTTCCCTCGGACTCAAAACATAAGAGCACCGCCTTGGACTACTTGGTGCCTAGTCCCAAGCTCCCAGCGTGAGTGTGTGCCACGCCTGGTGTGCTAGGATGGTGAAGCTGGTGGGCATGTATGCCATGGTCGACGGGAACAGCAGGATTTGGCACTCGCTCAGGAGTCCACCCATGGGATGTCCAGCAGCCGCAGCAGCTCCAGCGGTGACGCCCTGTCATGTACATGGGCTGGGCCGGCTCTAGGCCCAACCAAACAGCAAGGAGGATAAAACCAAGCCACACTGTAGTTCTTTGGATCATGGATGAACATATGAATGAACACGAAAATGCCTTGTCTCCTTTCTTCCCAAATGCTCTCCTACCTCAAGCTCCAATTCTCTAATTCCCCAATCTCTGGCTTCTTCTTCCCATTCTAGATTGCTGATTCCCGTGTCTATGATTCTATTCCTTCCTCAAGTTGTATCTCAAATACTTGATATCTTGTGTTGGAATTGGAGTATTTCCCTTCTCTTTGCTATTGATTGATGGAGGTCAAGAGGGATCGTAACAATATGGTATCAGAGCCGTCGGTTCGTGGGATTCCATGCCAGGAGACAAGGTGGACGACACACGGTTGCAGCAGCGACTTCCAGATACTGAATCCAAGCATTGGAGGTAGTTGCACTAGAGGCACCTGCTAGGTGTTTGATGAAATGCCGAGCTGGTTGGGAACTGGTGCAGGTGCTGCTCTTCATGTCCAAGTGAGCCACATCATCTACCCAGTGACCAATGAGGTATTGCACCAGGTTTATGACATCTATGGAGCGGAGGAATTGCATATACTGGTGGCCGACGCATGGCGAGTGGAGGCTCTTGTTTGGTTCCGGGCGAGAGGTGGTGCGGAGAAGGCTCGGGGGGCCACCCATGGCCACCACATCTATGATGGAGGGTGCCTACTCGAGGCTCAGCATGTGCAGCCTTGTTCCAAGGATGGTGCAGTGCTGACACCCACCAAGTGTTCGATGCTGGTACCAAGCTGTGCCATCACCAAGTCCGATGCCGAGAGCACTCCTACCACATTGGAACATGTGTTCCCGGCCACCATGAGTCAATCTATGCCCTCAGCCGCATTAGCAGCAGCGGCGCCACCGGTTTCCCTCACCGCGACTAAGGAGGATGAGGCCGACATGGACAAATCTGAGATGAAACCAGAGGAGACATTCCAAGAGTTGTGTGCCAAGATGATTGCCATGCTCAACAACATGCTCGTGACATGCTGCGACATCAAGGTTGAGTCAACCGCAAGCGTTGATATCACCAGAGTGGTGGCAGTTACGAGCACCAACACTGAATTAGTTCCCAACACATGGAGGTCAGAAAGGAGGCCAATTCAATTAGCTTGGTTGATACTAATGAGTCGTGTATGGGGACACCTACCAAGTGTTTGACGAAAGGCAATGAACAAATGATCAATGATGATGATGATGACATAGCCACCGAGGATTTAGTTGAGCTCACTGAAGTGAATTCCAAGTTCACATTACTGCAAACATCCTTCAACAATCCATGGTTTGGCCATCAAGCTATTTCTGTCGTTTACTTGACTTGCTATAGTTGCCTTGACCGGAGCTCAGAATACACAGCTAGCTCACCACCAGTACCACCTTGGAGAGCAGTAATTCCATGGAACCAAGCTGAGATGACCTTCGGTTCTCGGCCCTTACCATGGCCTGATCCACAGCTAAGTCAAGGCAGTGAAGGCGTGGTAGTGAAGTTTCTATGGAATTGGCCACCTTCTCAAAGCCAATTGCAAAGGTGATCGAGTGGAGCACCAGCCACAACCATGGCCTAATCCACAATTGAATGAAAGTAGCGGAGACGTGATGTATCTCCTACAACGATGGTCACTACCTGATCTTTCTCTTCGCATTGGTGTGACTATTGTTCAGGAGCAGGGGCAATTGCTACGGAAACAAGGCAAGAAGAATCCTCGGTCAGCACTTTTTGAAGCAGGAGATAAAACTGATGTTGGAGCATTTTTCTCACTCGGTAGGACATCGAGTAAGGTTCAATGGCTGTTTTTGTTTGGACCTTGGGATAGTTTGCAAAATGTTCAATGGTTGACTTATATGGGAAAATTGATTGCCAAGAGCAACTTTGATGTGAGGGGATGCTCAGTAAATCTTCGGGAGCTTCACATGCAATCTTATTTGGCTGAAACACTTCATCTGCAATATATTCTGTTGGTGGGAATAATTTGGGATCCAGGAGAATTTGGTTTGCAAGGACTTAGTGTTCAGAGGAAATCAAATGCAGTTCTTGATTTATTTGTCATTATGGAGTATTGGTTCATGCAGCAGCTTATGTTGACCATGCATACTGAAAAGCACTGGCAATTTATTTTTCATCCGCATCACTTGGATGGTTTACATGTTAGGAAGGACATGCAGCAACCACAACTACGACCACTGCAAATTGTCTTCCCAGTTAGTTTGAGGGCTGACCTGGAACCATTGCTGCAGATCATGGCTTCAATGACAAAGCTAATTAAACTACGCTCTTGGCCTGCTCTTGGAAGATGGGGAGATCAAGAACTAAATCAAGTTCATGATTTGTGCAAGTGCTGTCAAGATCAGAGCCTATTCCAGTTCACTTTCTCCATAGGTTATTCCTTAAATCTACGTCACTTGGATTTCAAAGTATCATCTACAATTCAGCAGATTATAATAACAGAGATGAAGATGACATAGCTTTGGGATCTTGAGACTATCAAACTGCTAGTAGCCATACTTTACTTCATGCAAGCTACTGCTTTTCATGAGGCCCAAGTTCAAGAATATGCTATGTCAAGGCCATGGGATCCTGGGGGAATTGCATCAGTTGGGAAACTGAACTGCATCAGCTCAGAAGGCTCAATGACATCAGCAAATATGGATAAGCAAATGTGCATTGTTAAAATGGTTATGCATCTCAATTTTATTGGGGTTATGCTTCAAGTTACCATGGGATCCAGCTACATCTCAATGCTGATTTCTGGAGCAAGAGATTGGACAGTGAAGGGGCTCAGCAAGTACGTAAACTCATGGTTGTATTTCAGCTCAAGCACAAGAGCACAGTGGTATGGAGCTTCATATTTCACCAAAATCTGGACAAATTGCTACTTAAACTACATGAAGGCAAGAATATTCTGAAAAACTAGTGATGAGAATGCTACCTGCATCGAAGATTTATATGTTCCATGGGATCCCGGCAGAACCGCTATATCGGCTTGGGGACAAGCCGATTTTCGAGGAGGGGAGAATGTCATGTACATGGGCTGGGCCGGCTCTAGGCCCAACCAAACAGCAAGGAGTATAAAACCAAGCCACACTGCAGTTCTTTGGATCATGGATGAACATATGAATGAACAGGCAAATGCCTTGTCTCCTTTCTTCCCAAATGCTCTCCTACCTCAAGCTCCAATTCTCTGATTCCCCAATCTCTTGCTTCTTCTTCCCATTCTAGATTGTTGATTCCCGTGTCTATGATTCAATCCCTTCCTCAAGTTGTATCTCAAATACTTGATATCTTGTGTTGGAATTGGAGTATTTCCCTTCTCCTTGCTGTTGATTGATGGAGGTCAAGAGGGATCGTAACACACCACTGCTCTACCTCCTGCTCCAGCAATGACGAGGAAGAGAGAGATTTGGAAGAAAGAAGAGGGGAGGATGGAGGAAGAAGATGGAACTAACATGTGGGTCATATGTCTAGGAGTATTTTGATACAGAAAACGTGACAGCGATGACATGGTTTCAATTTAGTGCGATTTCGAATGTCATGGATACGAATAGACGAATTATAATTGTATTTATCTGAATCGGCATATTTGCAATGGCATGAATCCAATTAACCCAAAATAATTAGGGGCCTAGATGTACTTTCATTAGTCAGACGTGAAGAAAAAGTTTCGTCTAAGTTTTTAACAATACCTTAGTGCCCCTACACTTGTGAAAGGATGCAAATTGGAAATGACTGATCCGAAACCGTGATTATGCCTGTCTTTCAGAAGTTGTGTATACTTAGTTCACTAGTATAATTGCAATTACATTTTTGTCTAAAAAATGATGTGCAACAAAGAAAAGTAACTACAAAGGTGTGATGACATCAAGCTAGCTAATAAATAATGCATGTCATAAACTTGAGTCAACGGAAATGCAGCTTTTCGCTATCTTTGGTGGAGGTTTACAAATAGGATTCAATAAATTGTGGGTTCTTTATTTTGTGTTGATGCCTATTAGTTGTTCTTACGTTTTGTTAAATTTGGTGTGTTTTTGTGAACTCTTTGGTGCGTGATTGCTTTTGAGCAATTTTATGTAATAATTGGTTGTAGCTCATTGAGCAAAGGTCGGATTTTGTTCCATTATCTTAATAAAAAGTTATTACCCATCATTTAGCAAAATATAATATGCAATAACCCTTTCAAAAGTCTCTTATGAGAAATCACCCTAAAAGTTCCACAGTTTATTGTGGCTGATTATGCTGGATTTGTGATGTCTGCCTCTGTGTAAGCAGCTGCTGCAGTTGGTCGATGTCAGAGCTCAGTTGTTGGTGTGAACCACTTGGCAGATTTGGATCACTGATCTCACTAACAACAGCTCTTAGGTGCTGGGCCTCAGCAGCCAATCTTGAAGTCAGAGCTGGACAAAGAAATGTAGACAACAAATATTAAGAAAAGTAGACAAAAAAAATGTTATGGACCAGATTTACTGATGTAAATGCTGACATAAAATGCATGGCAGCAGGGCCTAAAGGTTCGCCCTGAATAATATTCATGGCTGATTTGGAGACATACATAATAGTGTTTCTTCAAACAAAATTCCCATTAAGGCTGCTCGACATAATTTCATTTAATCATTTGTCTAGTACACTTTGAAGTTTATATTTTTAGCACGTGTGCTAGAAAGGTGGCCTAGTGTTGTACTTTCTCTGGTTTCAAATATTTGTCAAAGAAAAGGATAAACATAAAAGTATACCACCATATTATATTAGCAATGTGTGTTGTACCGTTAACCATATAATTTTCATTAACAATAAATTAGTTGTTTAAAAGTTATTACTGATTAAAATTGAAATAGTGATGGTGAACAGTGACAAGTAACTGAGGACAGAGTGAGTATTAACTGCAAATAAGTAATAATACTAGAAAAGGGCTTGCCCACCATTCTACACCAAAGTAGAGCCCAAACAATTCTAAAGCGTAGATGCCTTTCTCTATTATTATCAAGTTTACACCAGGCTTGTTTACCAGATAAGGCACTCCATCAGTGCATGACTAATTAGGTGTTAACTATTTCAAACTCAAAAAGAATGGATTTGTTTTATTTCCTAATGTAACTTTCATATATAAAGTTTTTTTTTTAAAATAAATGCACCGTTTACTAGTTTGAAAACATGTGTCTGCAATCCGCAATAATCGAAGGCCCTGCGAGACGATCTCGATCAACAAGAGGGCACTCAACCATATCCTACTTTTGTCTTGTTCTCTCCATATATCTCTTGCTATCGTCTTGCGTTCAACTAGAGGCTATAGGCCCCAAGGAAAAAACTAGTCCCTCCCTCTAAAAATTTAAGGGATTTTGGGTTCAAGATTTGTCCATAAATATAAATAAAGGATTTTGGAGTACTACTTCCTCCACCCAACTACCCCACAAATAGGAGGGAGCCTAATATGTGAGTATCAAAGTTAGCAGAACTGGAGCCATAGTGTGCACAGAACTATCTGGGACAGGCAATCCTTGAGTAAATAATGAGGCAAGTGCAATGAGACAGCACATTGCAAATCAATGGAAATTGTGTACCAAATCATAGAATACAGATCTATTTTAATCTACGACGTGACCAACTAGGCAAGAACAATATGAAACAATAAATAAAGCAATATATCCATGATCGTTTGAGCTACGGCTACGAAGTCATGGAAAAATGAATGAAACAACCGAAAGTAATTTATAATAAAACATATGCATAAGTAATCATCAACAGATTTTGTCCTAACCATCCATTTTAAAAAACAAAGAAAAAGTAAAACTACCGTAAGCAGTTCATGTTCTAAATATTATAAATAGTGTTTTGATTCTTTTAATAGTTCAAGTCACCTCAAAGTAAATGTTGTTTTATTTCTAAATACTAAGCATCAGATTTTTTTTTCTTTCATTATTTTTGTAGTGACATCTTTTCAAAGTCATTACTGTATGCACAACCATCCCACAACAATGCACGGGAATTCATCTAGTAACTCTATATAGTTGATCCCCACTAACAACAATTAATACTAATTCTCTCAACCCTGTTGCAGCAACATCATCTGAATTACTTTAAGCCACTAGATTAACATTGGTTGTCCCAGATTTGTTTCCAATCCCTACAAATTGAGTAATGCAATACAAGAAGAACGGTGCCCAACCCATATTGCCATCCCTCACCTCCAGGCAGCTAGAGTGTAGCGCATCAAAAGGCACATGCTTGCTGGTTTATTATTCTCTAATTACTAGGTGAAACCCCGTGCATTGCTGCGAGAATTTAGTATGATAACAAAAAAAATAACATGTAAGATAGCTAGATAATATCAGATTAAGTAAATTAATGTGGTTTATGATAATTTAAATTTAAATAGTATGTAGAATGGTGATTCAAAGTAAGGTGGTATGACTTTATGGAAGAAAAAAAGTAGAAAGATAGTTTGGACCGTAGATTAATCATCTAAAGGCTAAAAACAATTGATGTGATATGACTTAATTAGAGGAAAAAAAGAGAAATATAATTTGGACCATAGATTAATCATTTAAGCACTAACTAAGTGAGGATGAACTGTATAAGTATATAGGATATCATAAAAGATATACATTGAAACATTATGTGAATTATGTTGGATGATAATTTAACATATTTGTATTTGAAAAGCTCTTAAATTATAAAAACTATAAAGATATAGCATGTTTGCATGATGTTTAAATGTGATGATTGTTAGTGGATGATGATGTGGCATCTTATTAGTGGATGATGATGTGGCATCTTTGAATATTAAGCTTAAGGAGTTAGTGGGGGATTACTTTATAGTAAGATAGGATTCATGTAGCTGACAAGATGGTAATCAACTAGCTAGCCGTTTTATCTTACCTATTTACTTTCATGGTAATTAATCATGACATCTATAACCTTTACAAGAAATACTTATAATATACATCTTCCATTGCCAGTGACGATCATCTCTTGGCCCATCTCCCATTTGTGGAGACAATATATAAACCCATTTTATTTTTTATGATGGAAACCACAATTCAATACCAAATCTTGGATGCATTCCTCAAATTCAGTACCAAATCCGTAATAGGTAGGTGCAAAAGATTTGTCCCACATTTTCACTAATCTGTACTCCATGCTAGGTAGTGCTATGCTAATTGTTCCATTGTAAATTATATTACTGATTGATATATTATCATTTTATCATTATCTTTCTTCAGTTTCTCAGCAGATTTTTTTTCAGTTTGTATTCTTTGACTATTTTGGCGTGGATTCTCTATAATTGTTGTGTTTTATTTCTTACTTTTTACTTACCCATATTAGGTTGTATTGAACTGTCAGGTTCATCTCTCTCTCTTAATTTGTTCTAGCTCAGTGTCCAAGCGGTAAAGTTGAATAGAATCTTCAACCATGCCCTTTGCGCTTATAGATTCATTTGTAATAATGTTGTTTTGTACACTTTTAGTTTTATTTTGAAGTGCTTTGACTTGAAATATTGGTGAGAGCGTAAGCTGACAAAGCCTACAACCATTATAATAAGCTTTGTTTATGCTCACACATGTCAAGGCTAATGTTTAGCTCTTATCTATGGAAAACTAGATTATAAAAGTTTCCACAGCAATACGCAGGGCATCATCTAGTATATGAAATCCTGCTAACTTCTAACGAGCTTAAGAGTCTATTAGCAGATATGTCGTTCACTATTGATTGACAAATGTCCAACATAGGAACAGTACTCACAAGATATCTGAATGCTTTCTGCTGACATAGTTGATTGACAAATGTCCAACATAGGATCAGTACTCAAAAGATATCTGAATGCTTTCCGTCGACAGAGTCGTATCATGTTTCACAGTGATTTGGGAGGGTTGATAAATAATAAAAGTAGCACATTCACTTCTCTTTTTTTTCAACGCCATTTTCATCCACCAATTTGATACTTTTGGTACATCATTTAGCCCAAATGTGATTAGATTTTTTTAATACATTTCATACAATGGTTGACATATAAGTTATGATCGAACTGTTGTTTTATATCATAGGAACTACAAGTTAGATCTGATATAAACTCCTTAAGAAACCTTGGGTGTTTTGTACCTAGTATGTAGGGATTCATTGCTGCTAATAGATAGCCAAATTCTATAGATTCAAGGTTGTTCTCTCCTTTCCTTGACAAAAAACATTTATTGTGAAGGTTAAACGATTTAGGTAATAGTGTTAAGGAAATAAATTTGATGGCATGCTAGGAATAAGTTGCCTGACGTCTATCCATCTATTTTGAGTAAGTGGAGGTTTATTCCAACCCTGTTATTTTTCTTTCACTCTAAATAACGGCCATTATTAATAAAATGCATAATACAATATTTTGGGTTGCTGAAGTGTTTGTTGTTTCTATTTTAACTTTCAATTTTAGTTTTGATTATAGACATTACCATATATAAAACAACTGTAAAGTTTTTCTTTGACATGTTACCTTCTCTCATACATATTAAATCGTGCGAACTGTTTTCCTCTTATAGTATCCGAATCATGTTCTTGATGTATGGTAAGCAACATTTGTTATAAGAAACAATAATTCTCAAATCACGGCCATTCAGCAATAAAAGACATTTTGTTATACAGTTGTACAAATATATGCACAATTTTTTAAATTTCAAACTATGTATTTTAGTTGTAGATGCTATATATTACTATCGCGATGCCCGATGAATGTAGTTTCTAAAGAAAGACATTCTTCTTCTTGAAATATACTCGATACAACATGCTTTGCAGATGCAAGATTACTACTTTGAAAAAAAATGAACAAATAAATGCTGAAAAACAAGGAAGGAAAGTTACCGTCTCCCAACTGTGCTAGCTGATCCATTGCTTGCAACCTAGTTTTCAGTTCATTGTTCTGTGATACAAGCTCATTGTTGTTCCTCTACAAACAACACCAACAGTAACTAAGGTTGTGAAAACTCCTAATCAAATGATTACTTGTTTTGAAAACATACCTGCATCACTGTCACTTGTGCACCTAATGTAGTAGTTTCCGACTGCAGCACCTGCAATTTGCGTTGAAGCTCCCCTACGTGCTTCATCTTTTTCTCCTTTGACTTCGTGGCAGATGCCCGATTGTTGAGAATCCTGAAAATGTACAATAAGATGTTGATTTTCAGTAACCAAAACACTATGTCAAACTGTCAATCCCCCTAAATAGTCTCGTACACAAAGATTGAAACTCACACACCTTTTGACCCTCCTAGGATCAGTCAAGACAATCTCTGAGAGGGATTTATCCATCACAATCTTCTTCTTCTCATCCTCAGTGAATTTCACATTCGCAAGCTCTGCAGCAAAGGGAGAAGCAGTACTACCAATGGGCTCACCTCCACCAACATTCACCTCTGTAGTTAGCAAAGGGGGGCTGGACATCTGCTGTCCAACAACTCCGAAGTTGAGGTTCCCCATCATGAAGCTGTCAACCGACAAGCTGCGGCAATGGTGGGTTGTGCTGCCAGCACCGGAGCTCTTAACTTCTTTGTCTATGCTACCAGAAGGGCTCCATGCCTGTATGCCCATGTCCTTGAGGGCAGCAGCCGCCACATCCTCCAATTGGTGCCCCTTGATCGTTGTGACCTCCGGCTTAACTGATGCTACAGGTGGCATTTGTGGGTGTTCTTGTGAATACCCGAAGGGGATGTCGCTATGCGACCGCCTATGCCCCTCAATAAGCGGTAGCTTGCTAGGAAGCCCCTGGTTAGATCTCCCCGACCGTAGTGCGACAGGGATCACCGGCGGCACATCTACAACATCATATGGTGGTAGACTGATGGATTCCATCAAGAAAAAATGATTAGGAAAGAACGAGTATAAGTCTTCAGGCCCAAAGCCACTACCAAGTTCTAGCATAGGGGCCGAAGGTGGTGGTTCCGAGTAGGGGGGGAAGGAAGATCCTGTTGAAGAGATGAAGCGGGCAGGAGTAGGGTGGATCAATGGTAGGAATTTCGATCGGTCAAGACGGTGGTGGGAGGTGAGGTTGAGGATGGTGGGAACTCGCGGTGGCACCACCGGATCCTCGCTCCCATCGTCGCACCGGTCCAGCAAAGAGAGGCGGCGTGAGGGTTCACCCTCCATGTTCGGCACAAAGCAAGGGGGTGGGGGGGGAGGAAGTGGCGGCTAGGGTTTGGGGGAGGTTACCAACAAGCACGAGGATTCGCCGATTGAGAATGTGAGAGAGGGAAGCAATGAACAAAATGTGAAGGCTTTGTTTGTGTTATACGAGTGGCATGTAGAAAGGGAAAGGCGCGTGGGATAAAACCGATCTCAATCTCTCATCTTGTCTTTTATTCCGAACACGCGCTTATGACTTATCTGGGCCAAAAGCCCATAAGCAATTATATGGCTTGCATTTAAGATGTACTTCTCATGAAACTACTGGGCCGGTGCAAGAAATATGTAGTGACAATTACATTTGTAATTGGTCATATGCGAAGAAAAAGATTGCCCTGAGTCTTGAAAAGTGAGGAAGTAATTAAGCCAACTAGCTGAATCAAACTCTGCCTAAATTACAAATTCTATGCATTGGAGGAAAGTAGATAAAATTAGACATCACATTGCAGGGTATTTGTCAATTCATTGTCCAGTAAGTAAATTACACCAAATACATGTTACATGTTGGATCGTGTCCTTATTATGACATATGACGGAGCGTGGGGCTCCTCACCGGGAGACCGCGTAGGCCCCCCTTTGCCGGTTCGGCCGGGGACTCAGGGAGAGATTCTAAGCTCTCTGTATGTGGAAGGCTCGCGAGACAGGAAACACACAAGACACGGGCGATGTATACAGGTTCGGGCTGCTGAGAAGCGTAATACCCTACTCCTGTGTTTTGGGAGATCTGTGTATGAAGGAGCTACAAAGTATCAGCCAGCCTCTCCCTTGTTCTGGGTTTCTAATCTGGAAAAGTCCAGTCCCCCCTCTCAGTGGGCAAGGTCCTCCTTTTATATCTTAAGGGGATACCACATGCACCATTTCTCTCTTTTTTGTGGGGACTTACCCCCCCCCCCCTTTTCATAAATGGACGGAGATTTGTATAGTTGTCGTCCGAGTCACCTTCTGATGAGACGGCCCACAACTACCTCCACTTTCGCCGGGAGCAGGTGCGACGTGGAATCGTGGCTGTCTGCTGACGACATGACCGGTATCAGACCAGTCACGTCGGTCATTCTTGTCCACCACGTGTCAGCTTAGCAATCTACATGCTCGCCCTTCTTCACACAACATCTTGCCTGTAATGGTTAGGATGAAGCCTGGCATATATCTGACCAGGACTAACGTGCCATCTCTGGGAGGTAACACGCTAGCTCCAGCTGGGGACGAGCGCCTAGAAGCCCTCGTCCTGACGGGATGGGGCGAGGCGTGCGTCAGATCTCCTGTCGCCACCTAACCCGCGATCTGACCGGTCTGTGACTGGTCACAGACCGGATAAACGAGTGCACTGCACTGCGTTACATGCGGCGTGACACGCTCAGCCAAACCGCAATAAATGTGGTTAGGTGAGCCCCACTGTGCTCACCTAACCCATACACGCGGAGCAAAAACCCACGAGGGGTCGGGGCGCCTCGGCCCTCGGGGCCGAGGGGGGTGCGGCCCGACCCCCTCGGGGGGACTAAGAGGAGGGCGAACGCATCACCCTCGGGCCCGACGTCCCTCGGGGGTACCAGGCCACGTGTGCGATTGTGTCTGCCTCAAACCTCTAGTCATGATACTCCTGATCCCATGTCACCGACAGTAGCCCCCGGCGTTATGCCAGGACGATCGCCCTCTTTAAGGGAAACGGTCGGGCGTGACGCCACTCCTAAGACCTGGTGACAGGTGGGACCGGTCTCCACAATTGGGCAGAAACCCAACGGTCACAAACCACGCACATCGGCAATGGTAACTCGGCTGTCAACAATGAGCGGTCTCTTCAAGACTGCCACATTACTTGAGTAGCACACGAATCTGGACATGGCGATTCGTTTCGTCTGAAGATATGGTAACGTCGCTTCGGTCGGCGAGCGTAATTAACGCGCGCACGATATGATCTATTTCGACTGCCACAACCGCATATCCACCTCATGCGCCGCAAGCGGGCGAATGGGATTAGTGGAAGCGTGGGCGCGAGAAACGAGGGGGCGAAATAGTGGGCGCGAGAAGCAAGGAGCCGGGCACAGCGTTGGCAAGAGTATAAAGGCACTGAGGAAGGGATCTGTTTCCTTCCTTTCGCCATTATTCCCCTTGTCTTCACCGCTTGCGCCCTAACTCCTTCTTTCCTGTGCCCTACCTTCGCCACACGCGCTCGCTCTTAATCTTCTCTTCCTCCGGCGCCATGGCACGGGGTTCCGCTCTGCTCGATGGTAGCGTGCTGCCGCCTTCCCGGATCGTGAGCGAGAGGCAGGCTGGGCTGTCGCGCCGCTTCATGCCGGAATCTGCCACCGGCCGGGAGATAGTCACGCTGGGCGAGGGACGCCCGGCGCCAGACTACCCGGGGCGGTCCGTCTTCTTTCTCCCCTTTGCAATGGCAGGGCTGGTTCCACCATTTTCTTCTTTCTTCATGGATGTTCTGGAGTTCTACGATCTCCAGATGGCGCACCTCACCCCCAACGCGGTGATGACATTGGCCATCTTCGCGCATCTGTGCGAGATGTTCATTGGGGTGCGCCCATCTCTTCGGCTGTTCCGGTGGTTCTTCACCGTGCAGTCGGTGTCGCCGCCATCGGTAGTCGGTGGCTGCTACTTCCAGCCACGGGGGCCGGTGCTGAACCGCTACATCCCCTGCGCCCTCCGCAAGAAGTGGGACGACTGGAAGAGCGACTGGTTCTACACTCCCCTCGCCGACGAAGCGCGCCTCCGACTTCCGAGCCAGCCCCCGGCGCAGGCCTCCAGCTGGCGGGCGCCGGTAGATCTGGGGGATGGCTATGACGCCGTCCTCGACCGCCTGGCGGGCCTGCGATCCCAGGGGCTCACAGGGGCCATGGTGTACGGCGACTACCTCCGTCGTCGGATTGCGCCGCTCCAGCGACGCGCTCGGGGCGCCTGGGAGTACACCGGGTCCGAAGACTTCACGAGGACCCACCAGGGAGTGAGATGGGACTGGGCTCCTGAGGACTTCAAGATATTGACTTCAAGATATTGGTCCAACGGGTGCTGAATCTCAACTCCGTAGAGGCGGCCCTCATTCCCCAAGGAATCCTCCCCCTCTGCAGCGATCCAGACCGCGCCTCCATCCTGACCATTATGATGGCGGTCGGGGCCTCAGAGGAGCGAGCTCCAAAGGGCCACGACGGCGCAGGCGGGAGCCGCAGGGGGGAACAATCTACCCCGAGAGGGGGTCGTGCTTCTGGGTCCCGCGATAGGGGCCCGGGGAGCAGCCGCCCTGCCGACGCCCGGGGGAAGAGGAAGTAGGGAGGAACACCTCCCCCATCTCCTCCCCGAGGGGGCGGGGCGGCGCGTGCCAGTAACAGGCGCCCGGAGGGGGCCGCGCCAACATCGCAGCCCGAGGGGGAGCGCAAGAAGAAGCGGCCCCGTAAGATGGGGGAGACAGAACCATCTCGGGGAAACCTCATTTCCCCTCCAAAGTGGTCGTTTAACCGACCCCCTCGCAGGTTCGTCTCTCACCCATCGTGGCTGTATTCATTCTCTCAACGCGAGTTTTCACTCACCCATCTTGTTCGTCTTCTGGTATTTTCTTTCGTTTCAGCGAGATCCCGTCGCGTCCCTCCCGCCATTCCAAGTCCGGCCAGTCTGAGGCCGAGGATCCGGCGGCCGCAGAGGCCCTCAGGCGGGAATCTGACCGGCGAGAGGCCGCGGATCGCCTACGGGAAGCCGAGGAGGCCGCCCGGGCTCGCCAGGCCGAGGAAACCGCTCGGGAGGAGGCCGCCCGGGCCCGCCAGGCCGGGGAAGCCGCTCGGGAGGAGGCCGGATTTCGCCAGGACGAGGCGATGGCGACTTCCGAGGCAGCTCGCGACGAGGCCGCGGGCGCGTCGCTTGGGCCCACTCCCTCAGGCGACAACTTCCGGGGCAGCTGGCGACGAGGCCGCGGGCGCGTCGCTTGGGCCTACTCCCTCGGGCGACGCTCAGGACCAACCGGGTCCGGGGGACATCCCCGAGTCCGGCACTTCCATCGGCGGCCCGAGCCGCGTGGCATCCTCTCCAAGGCGGCTCTTCCCCACGCCTTCTATCGCCCTACTGAACGCAGAGCCCCTTCTGCAGGCCTTGGCCGCCGCAAACACCACGGTGTTGGATGGGTTAAGTGCCCAGGTGGAGGTCCTGCAGGCAGAGCGGGCGGAGCTCGACGCCGCGTGGGCGCGTGTCGAAGAGGGGCGACGCTCGGTGGAGGCCATGGTGGAGGTGCGCCGCCTTCAATACGGGAGCTGGGAGGCGGAGCTAGGGAAGAAGCTCGACGCCGCCCAGGGGGTGCTTGACGCTGCCGCTGCCCGAGAACAGCGGGCGGCGGAGACCGAAGCGGCGTCCCGGCGGCGCGAAGAGGCCCTTGAGGCGCGCGCCATGGCGCTGGAAGAGCGCGCCTGCGTCGTGGAGAGGGATCTGGCGGACCGCGAGGCCGCCGTCACCATCCGGGAAGCAACGCTGGCGGCGCACGAGGCTGCCTGCGCCGAAGAAGAGTTCACGCTCCGCCTCCGCGAGGACGCGCTCACCAAACGGGAGCGAGCTCTCGAGGGGGCCGAGGCCGCGGCGCAACAGCTGGCGGTCAACCTGTCCCTCCGCGAGGCAGCGCAGGAGGAGCAGGCGCGCCGCAATCTGGAAGGTGCCCGCGCCGAGAGGGCCGTACTGAACCAACGGGCCGCTGAGCTCGAGGCGCGGGCGAAGGAGCTGGACGCGAGGGCGCGCAGCGGCGGGGCGGCCACGGGCGAAAGCGACTTAGCCGCCCGCCTCGCAGCTGCCGAACGCACCATCGCCGATCTGCAGGGCGCGCTGGACTCGTCCGCCGGGGAGGTCGAAGCCCTCCGCTTGGCAGGCGAGGTAGGGCCCGGCATGCTTTGGGACGCCGTCTCCCGCCTAGATTGCGCCGGTCGGCAAGTGGGCCTCTGGAGAGGGCGGACCGTAAAGTACGCCGCCAACCAGGGAGGCCTCGCCCAGTGCCTCTCGAAGATGGCCGGGGCTCTCCAACGGCTCCCCGAGGAGCTCGAGAAGACAATTAAGTCATCCTCGAGGGACCTCG